ATGAATTATATATGAGAGAATAATTAACAATAATATATGAACAAAAAAATTTAAAATATATAAATTTATTTCATTGATAAAATTATAAAATTAGTAAATATTATTTTGCACTCTTTTTATTTATTAATGATAGCAACTATGTCATTTATTAAAATTAATTATATTTTATTAAAACATCATAAATTTTATAAGAAATTTATTTTGCTTATTATCTCTTAATATCTTACTTATATTTTATTTTATCAGATTAATAATTATTTATTATATTTGAATTTATTAAAAAAAACCATAATTGCCATTATTTTTTTTGGATATATATCATATAATTATAATGTATTCAAAAATTTAAGTCATTCTAATCAAAATTAATTAAAATCATTCTCACAAAAATTGTTTTTCTTTTAAAAATTTTAAGAAAATATAGACCGTCTTCTTTGCAAGTGTATTGAGGGCAGCTGGCAACACAAATGCGAGGCCTTTCGGCTAACCACATACATTAGGTTTGATTGACAATCTGACATGGGGTTATGTTCCCATGTATGAACTTTCCTTATTCTTTTTATTTTGCGGAAGTGAAGGGCTTTGAATACGGGCTCGTTGGGAGGAACGAATTCGTGTCAACCAACAAGCTGCGACGAACAAGCCGAGTTGAACTTTCTTAAGTAGTATACTATTTGAACTTATGTGTACCTGATGTTCTGGGCAAATAGGATTTCCTAAAGATGATTCTAGATTGTGGTTGCTTCTGACATGTATCAGGAGCAATGAGTTAACGATTAGTATCGCTTATGCTCCTATACGAGGGACAACTAACTATCGATGCTAAATTTTCACCAAGATATATTAGTGTCCAAAACCGTCTTTCACAAGTTCCAACAAAAACAAATTTGAAGCAAGTTAACAATGGGTGCTTAAAGCACTCAAATACGACACATCAAGGTTTGTAGTACACTTAGTGTGTAGTCTTGCAAGGGGAAAAATTTTCATCGCATCGCATTTTGAAGATGATGATGTTTGTGAAGTTTTGTTGGGTCATGCTTTCAAAAAATTTCTTATTATATATGTGAAAGTGGAAGAGACATATGTGAAAATGAGTAATGCTGGAAATCTAACTTTCCACATCCATGAATCATGTTACTTAGATGATGGGGTAGATACACATGTAGATGGTTCAAGACAAATGACGGCGGAAACTCCACCTATTTAGTAAGTTCCCAACTAACCACAATCTCTATCGGCATTACAATCTTAAGTGTTCTATCAATATTTATATGAACTTATGTCAATATTATGCAATGTTATGCAAAGGCAAAGTGGTATGAATTCTCAAAGCCCTTTGATGTTGTGATGAACCAAAATTTAATTTGAAAGAACTATTCTCTTATTTTTTATTAAACAATAATCAGAGCTACCTAGCTAATTTCTTTTATTGATATCAACATCAACATAAATAAAAATATAGATCAAAACATCAATATATACATACATTTGTATTAAAATCACATAAATCATATATACTACTCATGATCTATACAATCATACAAAAACTAATATATCTTGAGTAAAAAATAATAAGTACTAAAAAAAAAGAATATGAATAATCCTGATATGATCAATCTCACACACTTGATCCTTTGTCCTTACTTGAGAGTATTTAACCACATATAATAAGCTAAAAAGTCTACCAGGTCACCCAAATCTATAATTGAACTTAACATAAGGTAACTGACTAATAAGCATGTCAATACTCAGATTATAGCAGTTACATTCATATGATCATTGAATTAATACATAAATAATAAAATTGTATGGTATTGAAGACATTAAATCAGTATGAGTGTTAATCACTAAAATAATCATCATATCAATATTATAACTAATAGAGAAATCATATAAATTGATAAAATTAAATCATCAATAAAGACTGTCAAAATCAAATCAATATAGTAAAATCATATAGGAGTATACACATGCTATCTAGATATTCTATATCAGTATTAAATTAGTATATTAATCGCATGCTCAATATATCATGTACATCATGTGCTCAATGTATATATCATGCTTTTTTGCAACAATAAATCAATAATAATGTTAATAATGAATCCATACATGAATATTAACAGTATCTCAATAATATTTATTTCAGTAGTCACACTAAAAAAAATCTAACTATATGAAGTTTTTTAGTATCATATAAATATCAATAAATCATTGGCTCAAAAAAAGAGTCGTCACTCTTTATCCGCGGCATAGTAATCATCTCCTTATAACTCTCAATCAATATACACTACTAAAAATCTGAACTTTTCACACCGATTGTTAGAAGCGGTTTTAAAACCGCTTCTATAAATCGGTTTTAGCACCGGTTTTAACCGGTGTTTTGTTTGAAGCCCTAATTCGCCAGCGCGCGAACTAAATTTCGCGAATTTTCTCGGGGGAGCCCAGCTCTTCTCCTTCCTGCGCGTGAATGTCTCCGGAGCCCTCTTCTCCTTCGCTATAACGGACTCTCCGGCAAGCCTACCGTCTGATCTCTCTCGGTGCCGGTGAACTCCCAGCCTCTATTTGTATTACGTACAGATCATTTTCTAGCGACATTCCTTCCTGCCCTTTTCAAGATGCTGAAACTTTATCGCTTTGAAAATCTCGCCAGGAATGGCTTTACTGGCCAATCTCACCGGCATTTGGGAATCTAGTTGCCTCAGGACACTGTACCTTGAGATAGATTCGTTCGACAGAGTTCGTTCGTCCTTCCTTCTTTCGTTTCACACACAACTTTCGGCATTTAATCAAGACAGCACGTGCTGCTCGGTGGCAGGTCGTGGCCGCAGCGCAAGCTTCGGTTGATCTTCTTTTCCTTCTCCGTTAAAAACTGGGAAGCTGGTTATATATTGATCTCATTCTCTTCTCTCCATAACTGATTTCTTTCTAGGTAAA